TGGAGAGACTGTGAAGCCTCTATTTCATTTTCAATATCATACTTTTCCTTTTATTATTTTTGTCTTTTTTCATTAGCTGCAAGATGCCCTAGCCGCCTTTTTATTTTCAGAGAGAGAGAGAGAGCAAAAAGCCCACATGTGGAGGATGCCGGAAAGAGAAGTGTCCCAGATGTTAACAGCTCTAAATATTGTCTCATAAAGATACTCAGAATGTCTTCTGTGCCTAAACGACTTGAGACTGTCCTCTGTAATGATTGTCTAGTAAATAAGATTTATTAAACTTCTGCTTAGTAATGGTGTTCTGTTAAAGTATGTATTATATCTGTGGCAGGGGAAGAAAGGGTCAGCCCCCTACATAAGAACTGACATCTAAGAAGGAAGCTGTATAATTGACTGAAGTTGTGGTTAAGATGATAAGCATTTGGTTTCATCGTTAACCAGGTGCAAATGATACATTTGATTTGATTTTTGGTAAAATTAGCTAGTTAGGATTTATAACCAAATGGGCAGCCACCTTCTTGTGCCGCCTCTTAGAGTTTATATAGCACTGATTATATTTTTAATACTAATTTGGTGATTTCATTCCCACCTAATATTGAGATTCACTTGTTTGATTTCTGGATTTGATTCTATTTTGATAGTTTTATTCTTAGTTTAGTATTAATAATAGCTTAGCTATGGAGATATGTTTCCTTGATTTTTTTTTAGTTCATTTAAAAATCTTAAGTTTATAAAATAGAAACTGATCCAGACAACTCCAACTTCTTCCTTTCTGGGGGTGCTTGACCCCTGCTCCTCCCCCTCCCCCCCCCCCCCCAGTGCCTCCTGCATGCCACTTAACAGCTGATCCACAGTGGGCAGGAGGTGCTGGGGGGGTGCTGATGGTGGGTCCTGAGCACCCACCATTTGTCCACCCCACCCCACCCCCATTGGTGCCTATGGATCCAGAGTCACATCTCTTTCAATAAGCAACATGTGTCCAGAACCTTTGAGGGCCTGGGTGGAGACTAGCCAGTCAACCTAAAAGCGTGATAAGCTCTCCCTAATGTGTCTGTCGTTTTCACCTGTGAAAGGCATACAGTGCTTTCTATTGGGTGCTCATCATCTGTCCAAGTTCCTGCCATACCTCCCCCAGGTCAGCGAACATCTTAGCAGTCTGACCACTGCAGATACTGGTTGGTACTGGAAATCCCCACAGCAACAATACAGATCAAAAAGTTAGTGGTTAAATAATAGTCCTAAAACGTTATGATGTAAAGGAACCTGTAACTATTCAATGTGAAGCCAGTGAACGCAGCATTATTACAGACTGGCCAGCCTGTGGCATTTGCCTTGTCTAGGATTATCTCCGACAGCAAAGCTGTGCTCAAACACAGAAAGAATGCCTAGCCATTATGTTTACATACATCAAGTTTGACCAGTGTGTCCTGGAACATGATCATATCCACGTGGACACAGACAACAAACCTTTGGGATTCATCTTCAAACACCCTTTGCTGCAAAATATCTTCAAAGAATGTTAATGAAAATTCAAAACTCATTGCTTGGACATAGACTACAAAGAAGGTCTCTGATGTTCATTGCAGACTTTGTCCAGCAGGGCCATTAAGAACTTGAACATACCAAAAAGGCAGAATTCCTTTCTATGACACGTAGCTTTTGCAGATACAAAGACCTACCCAAACAGATGCTGTACTTCCAGCACGCAGACAAGTCACGTACTTTGCTCCCAGAGCCAGAACCCAGGAATCCTGCTACCTAGTATTCTAGGGCCAGTTTGCAGTTATCTAACCCAGCGATGAAGTGCATGCTCTAGCTCCTTTTATGGACTGCTCTGCAGAGAAGTTAAAAGCATGCTTTCCTTTATTTTCCCCCTTCCCCCTCCTCCAGTACCCCAGTTACTCCTAGACCTGGGGTAATTCAGGACTGTTATGCACCTGAGTGGTTCAAATCCAGCTGATGGTGGGACAGGCAGAAGTATATGTAAATTAGTGTGAGGACCGCAGGGAAAGCAGTTTAAATCATGTTATATTACAGAAGAACAGTCATACTGGCTCAAGACAATAGGCCAGATAGCCCCGTCACCTATCTTCCAACAGTAGCCAGTACCAGAGGCTTCAGAGGGAATGAACAGAACAGGGCAGTTGCCAAATGATCCATCCCTGTCATCTAATCCCAGTTTCTGGCAGTCAGACATTTAGGGAGACCCAGAGCATGGGGCTGCATCCCTGATCATCTTGCCTAGTAGCCATTGATGGATCTGTCCTCCATTAATTTATCTAATTCCTTGTTGAACCCAGTTATATTTTTGTCCTTCACATCATCCCCTGGCAACACGTTCCACAGGTTCACTGTGCATTGTGTGAAGTACTTCCTTAGGTTTGTTTAAAACCTGCTGCCTATTCATTTCATTGGATGACTCTTGTGTGATGTGAAGGGGTAAATAACACTTCCTTATTCACTTTCTCCACACCAGTCATGATTTTATAGACCTCTATCACATCCCCTCTTCAGTATCTTTTCCAAGATGAACAGCCCCAGTCTTTTTAATCTCTCTTCATACGGAAGCTGTTCCATGGCTCTAATGATTGTTTATTGCCCTTCTCTGTGCCTTTTCCAGTTCTAAGACCTCGTTTCTGAGATGGGGGGGACCAGAACTGCACACAGTATTCAAGCTGTCAAGCTGTGGGTGGCTGTATATAGCGGCATTATGATAGGAAAGGGACAGATAAGACAAACTAATGGCTCCTAACAGTGTTCGCTATTTTGCTTGCCACTGCACATTGTGCAGATGACGTTTTCAGAGAACTATCCACAGTGACTCCTCGATCTTTCTTGAGTGATGACAGCTAATTTAGACCCCATCATTTTGTATGGATAGTTGGGATTATGTTTTCCGATGTGAATTACTTTTCACGTAACAGGACTGAATTTCATCTATTTTGTTGCATCCCTTTGTAATTCTTCAGTCTGTTTTGGACTTAACTATCTTGAGTAATTTTGTGTCATCTGCAAACTTTGCAACCTCACTGTTTACCCCTTTTTCTAGATCACTTATGAATATGTTGAATCGCACAGGCCTCAGTACAGCTCCTCCCTCCCCCTCCCCCCCGCCAAAGCTATTTATTTCTCTCCACTGTGAAAACTGTCCTTTTATTCCTACCCTTTGTCTCCTGTCTTTTAACAAGTTACTGATTAAGGAGAGGATCTTCCTTCTTATTCCATTACTACCCACTTTGCTTAAGAGTCCAAGTATACAATATCAACTTGATCACACTTGTCCATGTGCTTTTTGCCCCCTCAAAGAATTCTAATAGGTTGGTGAGCCATGAATTCCCTTTACAAAAGCTGTGTAGATTCTGCCAACATATTGTGTTCATCTGCATGTCTGAATTCTGTTTTTTGTTTTTTTACTATTGTTTCAACCAATTTGCCTGGTACTGAAGTCAGGCTTACTGGCCTGTAATTGCAAGGATCGCCTCTGGAACCTTTTCAAAAAATTGGTGTAACATGAGTTATCTGCCACTCAGCTGGGACAGAGGCTGATTTAAGTGATAAGTTACATACCGCAGTCAGTAGTTCTCCAGTGTCTTATTTGAATTCCTTCAGAACTCTTGGGTGAATACCATCTGGGCCTGGTGCCTTATTACTGTTTAAGTTATCAATTTGTTCCAAAACCTCCTCTACCGACCCCTCAAATGAGACATTTCCTTAGATTTGTCACCTAAATAGAATGGCTCAGGGGTGGGAATCTCCCTCAATATCCTCTGCAGCGTAGACTGATGCAAAGAATTAATTTAGCTGCTCCACAATGGCCTTGTCTTCCTTGCATGCTCCTTTAGCACCTCAATAGACCGGGACCCCCCTGACTGCTGGGCAGGCTTCCTGCTTCTGAAGTACTTAAAATAATTTTGCTGTTAGTTTGTGTCTTTTGCTAGTTGCTCTTCAAATTCTTTTTTTGATCTGCCTAATTATACTTTTACACCTGACTTGTGACAGTTTTTGTTTCTTTCTATTTTCCTCAGAAGAATTTTACTTCCAATTTTTAAAAGATGACCTTTTGTCTCGAACCACCTCTTTTTTTTTACTCTGTTTAGCAATGGCAGCATTTTTTTGGTCTTGTTGCTTTTTTTTTTAATTATTATTATTTGGGGTATACATATAACTTGAGCCTCTATTAGGGTGTGTTTAAAAAGTTTCCCTGCAGCTTGCTGGGATTTCACTTTTGTGAACATTCCTTTTAATATCCAATTAACTAGCTGCCTCAGTTTTCTGAAGTTCCCCCTTTTTTTTTTTTTTAACTTTAATGCTTCTGTGGTGGGTTTGTATTTCCCCACAGCAATATTACATTTAATTACATTATGATCACTATTAATGAGTGGTTCAGCTATATTCACCAGCTGGAGAAGGTGATTTTGAAATCCTGAAGAAATTGACAAACCAGAACTCCATATGTCAGGTTGAACAAGATCTTTACAGCCAGTCCCTTCTCAGTGCTGTTGGCTCATCTTTTTATTTCTCTGCCTCGCAAACAAACAAGCAAACCTCCCACAACCAATATTTAATGAACAATAATGCCTATGACACTGCTGCTTGCTCTGTATGCAAATCCTTCTGGCCTCTGAAAACAACACAAATGTGCTGCTCCTCTCCTCCATTGCTGGGGCTTAAGAAGTTGTTTCCGAGCTGTGGTTTATAGTTTGACTTACTGGACAGCACTGGGTTTCCTCAGGAGGAGATGGACCTGGAGAACACTACACAAGACCTTACAAAATTCCCACATAAGCACTTGCCTCACAGGTAGGGAAGGACTGATTGGATGTTCTTTCTCGCTTTATGTCCCACTTCCTTTCTTGTCTAGCTATCATATAATTTCTATTGTAAGAGCCTCTTGTATTTTTATGAGAATGCACCTTATGGCACTGAAGAAATATGAAAAAATAATAGTAATATCTGCAAAGGGGCAAGTGGGAAGAATCCTCAATTGTTATTTGTCTTACCTTTCTCAGAAGCCGGGGCAAGGTCAATAAAACTTCGACATTTTTCACCTTTAAAAGAAAAGGATTTATTTTAAGAGACAGAAGTTGATTTGGTTTTGCTTTGTCTTCTCTCGCTTCCAACGATGGGTACTGCAGTCACTCCCCCTTCAGGCGCTAACAGACCATGCACCGAGAGCTGGCTATTAATCTGCCAATCTTTCCCATCCACCATGCTCTGCTCCCACATGGTCTGACCCTCCAGCCTGTCTATATGGGGTTTCCTCACCCGTATGAGCTCCCACATTCCCTTCCTCTCTTGGGAGTTGAGAACATGATTATGGAGAAGCAATTTACCTTTTGACTGCCAGGGTCCAGTTCTCCCCTCCTGCCCCCCATGCATCTGTTCAGGATCTGTAAGGTCTTCTGTTGTACCCCTGCTGCAATGGCCACTATGCAATGCACTGCAGGGGCACAGAATCACTGGTCACAGACCTGCCCTGGCATCTGGTGCTCCAACCAGGGTGGTGCAGAGCCTCCCTGTGGCAGGGGGTATTCCAAGGAAGGTGGAGGGGTGTTTTACACCTGTCCTGTGGTCCCTTTGCACCAGCCTAGCTCTCTGTCTGACTTAGTTACTCAACCCCTTCTGCTCAGAGCAAGCCTCCCAGAAGTAGTGACTGGAGGATCCTGGTCAATCCTAGCACACACCTCCGCTAATGCCAGTGAAGCAGAATTGGTGATAACAATGATGGGGCATTTTTTGCAGAAAAAGCCCATGTAAAAAAAGGCCAATGATGCATGAAATTGACCTAGCAACAAAAGTCATTTTCCCCTTTTCACTGTACCTGGAAACACTCAAATGTGCTGGTAAGGGAGCATCAGTAAACCACTGGAAATGGTGAAAGAGGAGAAACTGGAAGATACAATGAGGACCTTGCCAGCTCTGCTCTACCTGTCGTACAGCCAGCATACACCAGGATCCTAGCTACACTGCCACCTTCCTACCCGATTCCTTTCTGCTGAGGGCTCTGCTTAGTATCTTACAGACCGTCACAGACCCAGAGTCGTCCTTGCACTGGCACCAGCATAGAAACCTACGTGAGGCTGCAGGGCTCAACGTGGCTCCTGAGGTCAGCCCTAGAGTCTGCCCAACTTTGTGCCTCAAAGGGAGCTAGTAGCAGCAGCATGAGCAGTACTGGGGGGTAGTGCCTAGCAGCCCAGTCAGAGAAGGATTGGACCCCATTCTGCGCACACAGAGTTTACCGTCTGAGTCTAAGAAAAGAATGGCCGGTAGGTTCAGACACACAGGCAGAGGAGGACAAGGGAGCAGCGAGACGCCAGCTATGATCACAGTGACAAGCAGCAGCCACAGTACACAAGTAGCCTGGCCTAGCCCTTGTTTTGTAGCTCTCATAGCAGAGGAGCTTTAAAGAGGGATTTGAAGGAGCAGTGAGGTGGCTTTGTAAACAGAGAGCTCAACCCAGGCCTTTGGGGGTGGCATGATAGAAGAAAACTGGACTAAGGAGCACTCGAGAGTGGCTTCCTTTGCCGAGTGGAGCTGAGGGTCGACAGCTCGACCACATTTAAGAGATGATAGGTGGGTGGGATAGGTCAAGAAAGATATATTTGGAAGAAAAAAAAAGTAGTTTGTTTTTGAGGCAGTGGAGAAGGCGGAAGCCAGTGGAGGGATGTGCGGAGAGCAGGGATGTGGTTGGAGCGAGGAGGCTGAAAAATGAACTTTGCAGTAGCCTTTTGGATGGAGGTAAGTGGGCCAAGATTACATTAGCCCAGGCTACGGAACAGGATGTTGCAGTAGTCACACTATGACATGAAGAGGGCCTTGGTGAAAGTTCTAGCTGTGCAGATGGAGAGGAAAGGCTGGGTCTCAGAGATGTTGGGCAGGAAGATTTAGACATGACCTGAGTTGATTGGTCTAGAACAGGTGTGGGCAAACTACAGCTGCAGGCCGCATCCGGCCCATCAGATCTTTTAATCCAGCCCTCGAGCTCCTGCTGGGGCGCGGGGTCAGAGGCTTGCCCCGCTCCATGCATGCTGTGGCTCCGCACAACTCCCGGAAGCAGTAGCAAGTCCCCCCTCCAGCTCCTACCCATAGAGGCAGCCAGGGGGCTCTGCACACTGCCCCTGCCCCTGCCCCAAGCGCTGGCTCTGCAGCTCCTGTTGGCTGGGAACCGTGGCCAATGGGAGCTGCAGATGGGGCAGCGCACAGAGCCACCTGGCTGGCGCTGCACCTCCACACAGGAGCCGGATGGGGGACATGCTGCTGCTTCCGGGAGCTGCTTGAGGTAAGTGCCACCTGGAGCCTGCACCTCTAACCCCCTCCCAACACTGTGCCCCAGCCCTGATCCCCCTCCCGCCCTTCAAACCCCTCAATCCCGGTCCGGAGCACCCTCCTGCACCCCAAACCCCTCATCCCCAGCTCCACCCCAGAGCCCGCACCCCCAATTGGAGCCCTCACCCCCCCACAGCCCAACCCCCTGCCCCAGCCCAGAGCCCCCTCACACACCCTGAATCCCTAATTTCTGGCCCCACCATGGAACCCGCACACCCCAACCCCCTGCCTCAGCCCAGAGTTCCCTCCCACACTGCAAACCCCTCTGCTCCACCCCCTGCCAATAGCCCCCTCCTGCACCTCTAAACCCCATCCCTGGCCCCACCTCAGAGCCCACAGCCAGAGCCCTCACCCCCTCCCACACCTCAACGCCCAATTTCGTGAGCATTCATGGCCCACCATACAATTTCCATATCCAGATGTGGCTCTCGGGCCAAAAAGTTTGCCAACCCCTGGTCTAGAAAGAGGGCTGAGTTGAAGATGACACCCTGATTATGGGCCTGAGTGGCAGAGAGGATGGTGAAGTTGTCCAGGCAGAGTGAGAAAGGAGAAGGATGGGAGACGTTTAAGAGCTCAGTTTTGACCAGTTTGAGTTTAAGCTGACAGCTGGACATCCACGAGGAGATGTCAGAGAGAGAGGCCAAGATTTGGTTTAGAGAGAAGGAGACAGGTACAGAGAAGAGGTGGATCTACGAGTCAATGTAAAGATGGTAGCTGAAGCTTTGTTTTTGAATGAGATCACCAAGCTGTAAAAGGAAAGGGGTGTGCAGAGGATATGGATCCTCATGAGACCTGCATAGAAAGTTGAAGTGAGGAGGAGGAGAAATTAGAGTGACCATATTTCCCAAAGGGAAAATAGGACAGTGTCCATGTGGGGCTGGTCCAAGCTTCCCCCCACCTCCCCGTAGGGCTGGCCCCAGCAGCTTACCCCCAAGGTGCCCCCCAAGACTGTCACTGGTCACTCGAACCCTGCCGGCCCCCTGCTTGAGGCTGTCTCTGGTCACTGGAACACTGCCTGCCTCCCTACACACTGGAACTCTTCCTCCCCTGCCTCCAGCCCAACCTCCCCCTTGCACAGGGCTGGCATCTCCACTCACCCCCTACACGTTTCTCCGCACTGCACCTCACTTTTTTGACAAAAATGCCCTCTTTTGCCAAAAAAGTCGGGAAGGGTACTGGCCAACATGGGACCTATGGTCACCCTAAGAGGAATCCTCCAGATGACATGCTGAAGGAGCAGCTGAAGAGGTAGGAGGAAAACCAGGGGAGGAAGCGATCATAAAAGCCAAGAAAGGTCAAGATTTCAAGAAAGAGAGCGTGGTCCATGAGATCAAAGGCAGCTAACAGTTGAGGAGGAGGAGGATGGAGCACTGGTCTTGAGACATGGTAAGGAAGAGGTTGTTCAAGTTGTTGGCAAAAGTCATTTTAAAAGTAAAAGTGAAACTATGCAACTCTGTCACTCTAACTTATCCAAACATGAGAAAACTCTATAGTAAAAAGAGGGGAAAAAAAGGGAAAATCAAAACTCTTACAGACCACTCATTCAACCCCCTAGACATTTCTCATTCTGTTGCATTAGTAGCAAAAACAGACCAAGGAAAAAGGGGGAGAAGGAGGGAAAAAATGCACTCACGCTTCCCCTCCTCTTTTCTAGTACAAAAGTGGGGAGGGGTGAGTGGAAAAGTGTCTTAAAATGTACGTTCTCCCACTTTTTTTGTTGTTTGCCGTCTTTTCCAGTGGAGAAAAAAGGGTGAGGGGAGTGAAAACCTGAGACAAGGTTGGAATTTTGCAATAAATTTGAAACAAAAAAGTCAAAAATATGAAAAAGGTGTTTCATAATTTTTCATTTAAAATGTTTTTGACAAATAATTTTTATGAACAAATATTTTATCTGAAAAAAATATTATTGATGAAAAAAACTTTTCTTTGAAAAAATGTCAAACAGCTCCATACAGGACATTTTGCTAGGCAAAGGAATAGTTATCAAAGTTGCATAGATGCTCGAGGTGGAAATGCCACGTTGGGTCACACAGCCCATCTCCCAGGGGCCAGAGGACTGCTTCCAGAACAGAAATTTGAACAGAAAGTCATTCCAGCAAACCCTAAGAACGGCTATAATGGGTCAGACCAAAGGTCCATCTAAGCCCCGTATCCAGTCTTCCAACAGTGGCCAATGCCACGTGCCCCAGAGGGAATGAAGAGAACAGGTAATCATCAAGTGATCCATCCCGTCGCCCATTCCCAGCTTCTGCTCATCAGAGGCTAGTGTGACAAAGTCAGGGTATGTCTACACTACGAAATTAGGTCGAATTTATAGAAGTCGGTTTTGTAGAAAGCGGTTTTATACAGTTGAGCGTGTGTGTCTCCACACAAGTGCTCTAAGTGCATGTAGTCGGCGGAGTGTGTCCACAATACCGAGGCTCAGTCTGGACGGCTGCAAGAGGGTCCTGATATTGGGTTCCGGGAAGTGGGCAGGCACAAGAAAGGAAGTGGGTGCAAATGGGGACAGTCGCCAGCTGGGCGTATGCCCTGGGGGCCAGGAGAGGGACACCCGCAGAGCTGGTGGAGGGAATAACAGGGAGAGGAGGGAGGGACACCGTGGCCGATGGCAGAGCCGCGGCAGAGCGGGCAGCCCTTACCATGGAGGGCTTAGCCTTCTTGGCGGGGCCTTTGCCCTTCTTATTCCCCTGGCCCCTCCTGCCAGCTGGGAGAGGGGCTCCTC